GACCCCGCACCCCCATTTCCCTTCCTCCTTCCACCCCGCTTCGGCACCCTCCCTCCGAGCCAGACTCCCCACCTCCACCCCACTCCTGCACCCTCCCTCTCAGCCCAGCTCTACACCTCCAGCCTGCTTCTCCATCCTCCCTCCCAGCCAGCCCCTGCACCTCCGCCCTCTCCTGCATTCGTTCTGTCATCATGGGTAGGTGGCTGGTGGTCTGTGGAAAGGTCTGCGTTGAGCAGGGTGGGCTTTGGGCCAAGAAGTTTGAGAACCCCTGGTCTAGACCCTTGGAATAGCTTTATCGTCCTTTCTATAACTGTCCCAAAGGTGGGTTTGTGCAGCCTAGCAGACTGTGCAGAAGCCTCCCCAGGGAAGCAAAAGGAGGGACATTTCAGATGGAACAGGACCAGGGGCTGGACAATACACAGGAGGTAAATAGATGTGGAGGCTGGAAGGGACCATTCTGCTCACTAAGTCTGATGTCCTGCGTGACCCATTGTACCCAGCAATACTGGCATGTATTGAGCCTACTGGTCTACCTGCAGAATGGGGGATGATGGAAGAGGTGGCTTATCAGTCCTCTGTTTCCAAGGTGCTGAGCTCCCAAATCTGTGGTTGAAATTCATGAAGCGCCGGGTGTTTGCCTCCTCCACAGAGAGAAGCTCGTGCCTGGCTGCAGTCAGTGAAGTTTTGATACTGGAGAGGGGCCAAGATTTCAGCATCTCTCTCTCAACTTCTGTGCTCTACTGACGCTTTCACCGGCAGCCCGCGGGTTTTCTTGTGCGGCCGGGGAGGGAAGGCAAATCCGTGGAGATCAGTGCTTCGGCAATATCCACTTCCACTGTGTGTGGATAGGTGGAAAATATTACGTGCCGCCCTAAGGCAAGGCTGCCCTTGCCCTGACTCCTGGAGACCGCTGGCTGAGTGTGGGCATGGAGGGATGAGGAGAGGGCTGCCTGGCAGAACTGACCTTTGGCTCGGCTCCATTAGTGATGTTAGCGAGGCTGCAAATAGAGCCGATGGGCGCTCAGCTCGTTTCCCCAACTCTACCCCGTGTTAGGCTCACTGGCATGAGGGTGGAGAGCAGTGTTCCCTCTAAGCTGAGCACTTGTGTGGCCGCTCAGGAGAAATTCAAGTGCGGTCCAGTTGATTAGCAGAGCGCCCACAGCCATCAGCGTGTGTGTCTATTGGTGGTGCACATCTGCACATGCCTCAGTGCATCGTTTAAAAAAATTATTCAGCCCAGGAAAAGATTAGAGGGAACATGGATGGAGAAGGGGAGAACTGTCCCAAAAGTTACATCAAGACTCACTAGCCCTATCCCTTGACATCAGCCCTTCCAGTCACAAATAGAGTTGAACACGATCCCATCACCATAATCCCTGGTAGGAGTCTGGAGACAGCCACTGCCAGGTATGTACTGCTCAGCCTCTCCATGGCGTCTCAGGCAGAGCCTGAGGCTGGGGAAGGCGCGTTGGCTGCATGACTGACTGGAGAAGGCTTCGTTCCCAAGCGCTGGGCTGCTGCAGTCCTTGGCTTGCCTTCAGAATAAGGAAGTACCTAATTTTAAAGCAGTTGGCTGTTACCGTCCAATCCCCGCGGAGACGCTTGCTCTGGCTGCAGATGGAGGCGTCTCGCCCGTGTGTCGGCTGTGCCTGGAATAATTGAGTTCAGTTTCACTCCCTCTATTTACCGAGCTGCAGTTGCTTTTCCAAAAAAGGAGGGAAAGTCAGCCGACAGCCGTCCCAGTGTCTCGCTGGCTTCCATGTAAACAGCCAGGAGTTTGGGTTTCAGCGCAGTGGACACACCACGAATGATAATGATTGTAACCTAAGGGAGCTCGTCCGTCTGTCTGTCCATCTTCTAGCTGGGAGGGAAGGGAAAATGCTGCTCCTCCAGCAGCCTCCCAAATTCCTTTCAGGTCCTTCCTGCTCCAGCCTCCCTGCCGCATGGGAAAGCTAGTAGTTTCCATGGCAACCTTTATAAGGGCAGATGAAAGTTCACCGAAGCCCATCAGTGTTCCCTGTAAGCTGGGCGCTGGTGCGGCCACTCAGGAGAGATTCAAGTGCTGCTCAGTTAATTAGCAGAGCGCCCACAGCGAGGTTTTGTTTCTACTGGTGGTGCACATTCACACATGCCTCAGTGCACATATAATTTTATTCTGCACGTGGATGGGAAAAAATCCGCATGTGGATGGAAAAGCTTAGAGGGAACGTTGAAGTCCAGGCTCTTGCTGACTAGGAGGAAAAGGGAGGGAGGTGGATTGAGGGGCTCAGATTGAAGCAAGGGGTGGAGAGGTAAGATGCTAGGTTTGGCTGTTTCACAATGCGGGAGGGACCCACAGAGGGTTTTGAAGGCCTCCAGACAGCGTGTTGTGGTGCGCCCAGGCTCTCTGCAGAGGGTAGCAGTCAGAGGGCACCACTCTGGAGGGCAAGGCATGCAGTTTTTGCCCTTGCTGTGAAAGGAGATTGCAGTGGGGGACCAGGGCTTAGACTAGGGTTTAGATTCTGATCTCTCAGAGGCCGAGGAGGAGAAGCCAAGGAGGACCTAGGCTGTGAGTTTTCTGGGGCCGGGACTGTCTTTTTGCTCTGCGTTTGTACAGCTCTGAGCACAACAGAGGCCTGGTCCGTAGCTGGGGCCCTGAGGTGCTGCAGTCTTAGAAACGATACTAAGAAAATGGCCTGTAAGGAGCGAAGTGCTGGGGTTCCAGGCCTCTATGTGGCTGGAGGACAGGGCAGGGGATATTCAATCCTATTCATGAAGTGAAGTGGGTGAAACTTCTGAGCCTCCCCCCCCAATCCCCACTTCACACTTGTTCAAAGAGAGTCAGAGGGAGACAGACAATTCCAGCCCCTTTTTCAAATGGACAAATCCTAGAAGTTTTTAGGGCCAGGCCTGACAAAGCCCCGCCTGGGACGATTTCCTTGGGGTTGGTCCTGCTTTCAGATGGCCTCCTGAGGACTCTTCCAACCCTCATCTGATAAACATGGTTGAGGACAGTGGTCAGCACCAGATGGTCCAGGACACTCTGAACATCCCACAACAGATAATTCCATGGTAACACATCACTGGGCGGTTGTTCCTTCCACTTCCTTACTAGCCCATGCCCAAAAGCATGAGAGCTAATAGGAAACTTTTATCCTATCCAGTGTTTCTGTGGATGTTCTGACTCCCCTGAATGTCCCGTCCCTTTTAGCATCCTCCTGAGCTCATGGTCTCATAGGTGGTGAGTTCCACTGTGGAAGAGATCTTGAAGTCACTGTGGATAGTTCTCTGAAAACATCCACTCAATGTGCAGTGGCAGTCAAAAAAGCAAACCGAATGTTAGGAATCCTTAAAAAAGGGATAGAGAATAAGACCGAAAATATTTTATTGCCTCAATATAAAACTATGGCACACCCACATCTTGTATATTGCATACAGATGTGGTCACCTCTTCTCAAAGAAGATATATTGGCATTGGAAAAGGTTCAGAAAAGGGCAAAAATGACTAGGAGTCGGAATGGGTGCCATATGAAGAGAGATTAAAAAGAGTAGGACTTTTCCTTATTCACTTTCTCCATGATTTTTATACGCCTTTATCATATCCCCCCCTTAGTCTCCTCTTTTCTAAACTGAAAAGTTATTTACCTGTTCCCATAACCTAAGAACTAGGGGTCACCAAATTAAATTAATAGGTAGCAGGTTTAAAACAAACAAAAGGAAGTATTTCTTAATGCACGGCACAGTCAACCTGTGGAACTCCTTGCCAGAGGATGTTGTGAAGACCAGGACTTTAACAGAGTTCAAAAAAAACCTAGATAAATTCATGGAGGTTAGGTCCATCAATACTTATTAGCCAGAATGGGTTGGAATGGTGCCACTAGCCTCTGTCAGGGGCTGGGAATGGATGACAGGAGAGGGATCACTTGACGATTCCTTGTTCTGTTCATACCCTCTGAGGCACCTGGCATTGGCCACTGTTGGAAGACAGGATATAGGACTACATGGACCTTTGGTCTGACCCAGTATGACCGTTCTTATGTAGGGGAATAAGGCATTTTCCAAACAAGTATTTTCTGTTATCAGTGGCAATCTCTTTGCTCCTCTGTTGCAACCCAGGAGAAACTGGAGTAGCCCACCCGGTTTTCATCTCCAGCGTTTCTCATTCTCCAGACCTCTGCCCCATTCCTCTCTGGGCTCTCGTCCAGCGCTCTCCTTCCACTCTGTCAAGCGCTGGGACAATGAGGAGCAGGAAAACCTCAGAGCTCTCCAATCCCAAAAGGACAGAGCAGTCTGCCGCCTTCCAGCCTTGCTGGAAGGGCTGGGACTAGAACTGCTCCTCTTGCATTGTGGAGGATTGACCTGTCTGCGTGAACCGGACCCTTTCTGGAGCTTCAGGCTCACCTCCCCCACCCGGCCAGACCCTGCCCCAATGAAGGGAAGGCAGGGTGTGTGTGTGTGGGGGGGAACACGGTTATGCGTTTAAAGCACCGTGACGTGTTAAGCAGCCAGACTTTGGGCTGTGGGAGTGTTAAAACAAAGGATGGTTCATAAGGAGTGAGAATTCTCTCCTCCACACCAGCTCCAGCTAAGCAGCAGGCTGCCGGGCGGAGTTTTAGGGCTTGTTATCATTTGGAGCACGTAGCTGGGAGCAGGGCAGGGGGAAAGGAACTTGCAGGCCAGCCGGAGTTTTTCCATTTTGCGGTGCGTGTGGAGAAACATGCCTTCGGGGGTGTCTCTCTCCCCCTTCGCCCCTCACTGCTGCAGCTGAAGAACATTAAACACATGAAACACATTAGAGGGGATTTTCCCCCTCCCTCTTGGCCCCCCCCAACACCTCTTCCGAGCGAGGGACCTCCAGGAGGCAGAATTGACCCTGCCCGGCGTTTTAATTGACAGGCCATTAAAAATGGATGTGTGGCTAGAGAGAAATATTCAGATCGCAGGCCTGTTGCTGTCCGTGTGGGATTTTAATGATTTATGTTTCCTTCTCCTCCCCCTCCTCCCTGCCCCAAACAATCCAGGCGCCATGGGAGGTCTGTTCTTGGATGGGGAGGAGAGCCCTGCGCTGGAAGACATCAGCAAATGGACAGTGGAGGACGTCTGTAGCTTTGTGGGCAGTTTGTCTGGCTGTGCCGAGTACACTCAGGTAAATTCACAGCAGCCTGGGAAATGTTAGGTGGGGGTGGGAGAGGTAAGGAGAAAACTCGCTCCAATTCCACTCCCTCCCCTCCCCTCCTGCAAAACCTCTGCAATCAATCAGAGCTAATGTGGCGGAATATTTAAGAGAGCCCTGCAGGGCCTGTCAACCGTCTGGCTTTCCTGTTTTCCTACCGGATTGGGGCTTAACCGTTGGCTGCCAGTAGATGCCCCCAGGGCATGCAGGGGTGTGTATGTGGCTAGCAGGGAGGAAGGTGGGAGGGGAGAAGCTGGTGTCTGCTGTTGCTGGGCGGATTACACAGCTAGCAGCTCCCTGCCTGGGAGATAGGTGTGCGGAAGTCCACGGTGGCCCACAACCAAACCGAACACAGTGCTGGCTTTGTGCTGGGCGGTCCGGGGGACCGGGCTGCCGGCGAGTCGTAGCAGAGGACTGTCCCGGCTTTGAGGGCTGTTCAGAAAGGCCTTTTCTCAGAGCGCCGGGACCTGGCACTAAAAGGAAGCCCCAGTTTGGCCTGGCGCAAGGCATTGGGTTATCGCTGGTGCCCAGCTGTAGCTCCGCCGCCCTGGAGCACGGTGCCAGGGGTCCAGGTGAAAAGCCAAGGGTGCCTTGTACCAGGGCAGTCGCTGGTACAGCTGGGTTGACGTGCTCAGACTTTCGCCTCCAGTGAGTGCGGATTCCACTAGGGTCACAGCCCGTCTCCTCGCATCTCATGTCTCGGCTCCAGTGAGGGCACCCCAGACGCAGGCAGGGGGCAGTGCTGCAGGGGCAGAGTTCTGGGAGAAGGGGAGGGCGCTGCCAAAGACCCCCACGCTCACAACATTTGGGTTTTTTTTAAAGCCCCTTTGCAGCAGGAGCCATGTGCCCATCAGGGCTGCCAGGTTCATAAAGCCGCTTAGTGTGAGGCTGTTAGGAGGGATACACAAACCAGCTCTGCTTTCTGGCTCCCACAGCTGTTGCAGTCCATTAGAAACACCCCATTGAGAGCAGGCGCGGCCGGCAAGCGCGCGGATTCCTGAGCGGCGGTGAGAACTAAAAGTCTAGCTCAGGACAGTCCAGCTCCTTGGGGGGCAGACGCAGCCCGACAGAGGACACCGGGCAGATCCAGGCAGTAAGAGGCAGCTCCCTGGGGGAAGAAGCAGAGGGGACAGGAAGGGATTTGAGTTTAACAAGCACAGCTCAGGCAATATGCACTAAGCGAGGGGAGGGCAAGTCTAGGACTCCCCCAGCACGGCCGTCCCATGGGCCCCAGGTCGAATTCAGCCAGCTCAGAAACAAGTGGACAGAACTGATTTTCAAACGCTTCCTCCCTTTCCCCCTCCCGGGAGCATTAGGCATCAGCTGCCATCACCCCCGCAGCTGTGCTGCTGCTCAGAGCGTTACCACGGCCCAGCGAGGGACCTTTCCTGCAACGGGCCCCGGGCAGCAGGAGCAAGCCCTGACTCAGCTTTAGCATCGCTCCTGGGAGCAGGCGTGGGGAGGCACCTAGCAGGGCATCAGGCCCGTTATTCTGCACAGGTTCACAGCCCGGCCTATGTTCATAGATCTCCTCACGGTGGCCTGGAAGCAAGGCCTCCCTTCGCTCTCCGGGTGGCTGGCGGCTGTGCTGTCAACGCAAAGCCTGTCCTCCTTTGCCCCCTAACCGTGGTGTTAATCTCATCCTGACAAGCTTCATTAAAACCACCTGTAAGCCTGGTGCTTCCCTCCCTCCCCCCCCCGGCCAGCAGCTGGGCCTGCGAGAGGGGGGGGGAGGGCTTAGGAGAGGAGTGTGTCTGACAGCCACGGGGCGCCTGCGGGAGAACTCCGAGGGGGGCTGGAGAGAGCAGGGTAGGTATGAGTTGCTGGGGGGCGTGAGAGGTTTTTGTGTCTGGCGTGGTGGGAGAGGAGGGCTGGGAACGTGGGTGGAGAACAGGGGCGGGCAGTCAGCAGCCTGCAGGCCAGACGTGGTTCACCAGGGTTAGCCCCTAGTGGGCCGCTGGCACTTTATTTACCTGCACGTCCACAGGTACGGCCGCTTGCTGCTCCTTTGGGCTGCAGGTCGCCCTTCCCAGCCACTGGAAGCTGCGGGGAGCGGGGGGG